GAAAACAATGGGCCAAAATATGGCATAAATTTTATGTCCTTACAGATGTGAAAACTTACTATTCTTTCAATTAGACATTTATCCCAGAATTCACCTGTCAGGTCCTTATTTGTACACTAATATAGTGCATGATATAAACACATGGTTGCTCCCATATCCCAAACTAATCAGAATGTGACAGTCAACAATTGGCTTATCAGTTTCCAACTGATTTTCCGTTTGCCAACAGAGCACACATTTAACTAGTGCAAGAACTGTACACAAGAACTAGCAGAAATTCCAAATGAAATGTTGTAATTTCAAAACAAAGAATTGTATAACACAATATTTGAATTTCAGAAGCATAAAACATTGGCCTCATATAATTCAAAGAAAATTGAACTGGTACTATTTATGTCAACATTTCACCATGGTGGAAATATTGATAGGGAAACCTCAACAACATGGAAGCCTGAGATGGAAACTTTCAAGAACAAACCTGAACATGGAGCAGATGTTGTTGATAAGTTATGCTGCAACTATGATGTCACTTGAAACACAAAATGTTGGCTAATGATTTCATTTTACTAAGTCCTAAACATGTGTGGCATAAATAGATTGATAATTTACAAAGCAAATAACAAGTACAAAATATCATGGAGAACTGTTCTGGAGATGGGTATTGGTGCTTATAAGAGATCATTTACAGCAAAGGAAAAACAAAATGTTTCTGTTCAGGGAACTAGACAAAAAAATTGTGGAGCACATTGATGTACTAATGGGTGAACAAGCAGGCACAGCATCACAAGGACATACTATGATTAACAGGAAAACAAGGAAAAAGATGTCAATTTTGCCCTCCCAGAAAATATAGGAAATCAAAACACATGTACTGGGACTGTAAACAACATTTGTGCACAGAATATGCAGTTGTCATGTGTGAAAGCTGCTTGAGTCTGCTGCTTGAAACAAAGCTTATTTCTGTGGTAGGCTATTGTTTGTGTTTATACTGAAGTTCACATATGTTTTTATTTTTGATGCTACTGCTTTAGAGTTTGTAAGCAAGTAAACACCTGATTTGAAAATGTTGATGACTATTTTAAACACTCATTAAATATTTGATATTTTTTCTTACATCTTATTTTCCCCCTAGGTGTATGTTGTACAATATAGCAGAAAGCCCTAGACAAAATAGGAAAAGAAAACAGAAGACAAGATTGTCACATAGGAAAGGAATGCTAAGTACACATGGTATTGGTTTAAGCAAGATGTGTAGAGAAAACATAGTTGTCGGAAAACTGGCCTTGGAAGAGATATGTGAAGCAAAGATTATTTCTGTGGTAGAATTCTATTTTCATTTTCATTGTAGTTCAGATAGGAATTTACTTTTAATTTCATCTTTTAGGTTTTGTAAGGAAGTACACAGCTGATATGAAAATGTTGGTATCTACTCTAAAAACACAACACATATTAAGAATTTATTTTATTGATATTTTATATTCTGTTAACTACACACAATACAATTTAATAGGAAATTCCGGGAAAAACATCAAGGTCACTGACATATCAAAAATGTCCTGAAAAAAGTCACAAAAGCAAAAACATGTACTGTCAGTGTAAGCAATATGTGTGTATGGAATATGCTTTTGTCATTTGAGCAGACTGTCTTAAGTGTGATAATGGAAAGTTTTTTTTTTTTTTGAGAATGCTATTGGCATTTTCTTATATTTACTATTTTCTTATATTTACTAATACTAACATATTCTGATGTTCTTTTTAAGACGTACATCAAAAAATAGCCAATGTTAAAAATTTTGAAGATTTTTTATAAATAATACATATTAAAAATTCAATAATTTATTTTTGTGATATTTCCTGTTAAGTGCTCATTATTTAATATAATAAAAAATTATAAAGTTAAAATTACTAATTTATCATAGAAATATTCTAAAGAATAAATATGGTTCTGACAAACCCACATTTATGTCCCTTGATGACAAATTAGTTCTATGCTCCAATTGCTACTTGTGAATTTCTAGAATCTCGACTATTATATGCCTTGCTGTAGATGTCTTGATCATAGTAATTGTAGTTCTATGTGCCTCACTTATTTGTATGTCAAGTTCTTTTTCCGTGTCAGGGAAATTTTTTCATCATGTTTTCTGCGAACAGAGTTTTTAGATCATTTGTGCATTTTTCATAGACTTCAATCAATCTTATATTATTCCTCTTTGCATTGTGTAGAAGCTGCTAGTTTGATTTCGTCTGGTCTCTTGCTATTTTTAAGAAATCTTTCTTTTTTCATGATTTTTAACCACAGTCACGTCTTCTATATCTGAGATTCTGCCTTCATATTGGCTCATCTGCTGCATGTAGTCTCAATGAATTTTTAATCTCCTGGATATCAGTTTGAATCTGCATTATGGATTCCATTTTTCTTCCTATATTGGGCACTCGTGATTTTCCTAAAGCTTCTTTATTTTTCTTTTTTATCTATATCTGCTCTTGGGTCATAAAGCATGTCTTTCATTATGGTCACCTCTCGTAGTTATTTGAGAAATTATTTCTTATTGATGTTTTTGATTCTCATTTACTTGCTTTGCTACTTCTGTTGTTACCAGTTTAGAGTGTCCAGGTTTTCAGCCTTCTGATTGTTCCACCTCAATGCCTTCTGTGTTAGTCTTTGGAGCTAGGTTGGCATCTTGATTAAGTACCTTTTCACTATATTTGTATATATTTTAGCTTAATGTCTAGGTTGATGCTTGTAAATTACCTATGATAAGTAGCTTTATTGCTTATTTAGAACACTCAGGCTGATTCTCAGAGGTATATTCCAGGTGTAGCTGGCTTTTGGGTTCTGAGTCTATTGCAAGATCCTACCTCTACAATTTAGTGAGGAGAAGAAGTTGCTGCCCACTTGGTGCAGTCACTTGGCAATGACCTATAGTATTTTTATGATCTTTAAGCAATCTTAGTCATAGCATTCCAGAAAGAATAACTAGTTAGAATAATTCTGTCACTTTGGCTAAGTGGTACAATCAGCAATAACAACAGCATCAAATACAGTCTAGAAAATGACATGCTGAGATAACTACTAATTTCCACCCTTAACCATATGAACTAGATTTTCAATAAAATAAAATTTGAAATGAACCTGAAAATTCTATACAGTAATATACATTCAATATGGCAACTTCACATACAGGGGAGAAAATTTAAATGAATTAGAGAGAAATAAAAGAAAAGGAGGAAATTCAAAGCAAGGCAGGAGAATAAAGAAGGACCATGCAAACTTTGAGAAATTGGTAAAGAAGACAGGAGGGAATGAAAGATAATATAAAAATAAGAATAGAATGACAACATAAAGGAGATACCATGTTCATACTCATATAAATCTAAAAACAAATGATGAAAAAACACAAAATAAAAATAAACAAGAAAAAAGAAAAAGAAAATTAAGCACATATGATAAAACAAATGTGTACCTCAAAGTGTGTACAGCTGTTACCATTAGATGGTGAGAGCAGAAATAGTGCAGATCCACACTGATGAATCCTGGCGAGCCAGCAGTAGCATTATAGCAGAGTAGTGTATAATACCAGAAAATGTGCCATTTTATTTCTACTGACGTTCAGTCTGGTATCTGACTGTGAAGCTGAAACCAGGCTCATTCAGCATGCAGAACTACATAGCCTCCTGCTGGCTTGAACTTGGTTGGGAGCCACTAGATGAAGCCAGCAGTTGCTTTGAATTCTAAGCTCTGACAGCCCTTCTGTAAAATGGCTTCATGTCAATCAGCATTTCCTGAGGGATATCTGAACCCAAATAACTCACAAGCCACTGTACTCCACCTTGTCCACTGCCCTGTCCCACTTGAGCATTTCTCTATCAAGGAGTCTGGGATCACTAGTAGTCAGCCTTCCTATGCTGAAAGTTCGGACTCAGAAAGAAAGTGCCACCTGTCACCTTCTTATTCTTTGTCGATATTTCTCTCTTTGCTCTCCTTGTGGGCTTCAATTCTCACTTCAGATCCTTCCTGTGTTCCAGGGATCCATTTCCCTGCCTCTTCTCTTTATCACTTTGCTATATTCCAGTGTTGAGACAGCAAATCTCAGAGACACTCTTTATTTGTTGCTCACCATTCCACCATCTTCCCAGAAGTCCAAAGTACTTATGATAATCTCTGTGAGTGTCATTAAAGGAAGTGCTGGATTGAAGGCACACAGTAATATCATCTGGAGACATGCCAGAGGAAGAAATACTTATAACCAGATTCATAATCTTGGACCAACAATGCCTGTGGGACTTTGGCTTAGATCACAACAGATCATGTTTCCCCACATCCAAAACTGCACAATTATGGTGATAAGCACATTGCAAAACCCAGATAGATACAAATACTGCAGTAAGCCCGGCAATGCTTTCTTTTAGAAAAGACAACAGGTTGTCAGGATCGCCAGACAGATTTTCAAAGAATTTAAGCTGCAACAGAGTTGATTTTTTAAAAAATTGAATTATGGAATCTTAAGATTGGATTATCATTCTATAATAGATAAGATTATGTTACAGGAACCAAAAGTAGGGCTTGAAACTCATGAGCAATTATTATTACATGTTCCCAGACAAATGGGAAATATTGAAACCCAAATGAGAGGCAGTTGTATAAACTTCTGGTGGTTTCCTCTCATGTGCTTGATCAGTATGGTACTTTGATGACACTGTAGGTGACCTGAAGCTCTGATGAGCTGCTTTGAATCCCTGTGAGTCAGATAAAGCAGTAATTCACAAATATGAAGTCACAGAAGATAACCTTCAAAGTCCTGTTTTAGAAAACAAAGTTCCAGTGCCCAGTGTTGTGTTTTCTGGGAACCCTTTAACTGTAGAATAAAAGTATGGCTCCTGCAAGTTGTTAAAATTAGCAGATAAGCAAAGCAATACATAAGTACTACAATGAATGCATACATAGAGAGTTTTGCTAAATGCAAAAAATCATAGAAATCAGCTAATTAAATTCCACTATTCATCATTATGTTTTTTATTTTCACTTTTTCTAGTAAATATTACACTAATTATTTATGCAGTTCCATTTACTAAATAGTGTTTAAGTGGCACAAGTAATGCTTTGGGCATAATAACTTTTATAATATGATAGTAATTACAATGTCTGACTGATGAAAATGTAAATGAAAAATTGTGCCTCAGACACTGAGTCATCTTTAAATCACATGAGATTCAGGTCCACAGCTTCTTGATTCTTCTATCTTGCAGTGAGCCACAAGAATATTTCAAAGTTAAAGTTGGAGGCCTTATAGTAGATCCTTTACAGATTTAAGAGGCTCTAAACAATCTATGAACACCTCAAGGCTTTATTAAAGACTTCAGCTGTCATTCAAATTACAAATCAATCAAATGCCAAAGAAAAGATACTGCTGGTAAAGCAAATGACAAATGTAATAAATTTCAAGCACTTTGTTTATTTTTATCTGAAGAGGAAAAGTGAGTTGCACAGAAAATGTGAAATGTATGAAAATATCCATTTAAACTTTTCTGCGATAATATTGGATCTCACCCTGAGGTAATACAGGTTGGTACTTTTCTGAAAGCTGAGAATAATTTTTTCTCTGCTTGTGTGAGCCTGGATGATGCATTAATGTTGCTAGTTAAGACAATAAATCATGATTTGTTATTTAAACATATTTTTTGGTTTATAGCTAAATAACACTATTATGTTTAACAATTAACATGTTAAAATTTAAAAAAAAAACAGGTCATTTATTACATTACTGCCACTAGAGTCATTAATATTGAAAGGTATAAAGCAAACAGAAATTTCTTCAGCACTGAGATCTGATCTGCATGGGGTAATTGGACTTCTGCAATTGAAAACCTGTAAGAAACAAAATACAAAATAGCAATCTACGACATCACTGACAAATAAGCATGGCTTATGTGGATTACCATCTTGATATGACAAGCATACTTGTGATCTCAATGCTTGTCTCTATAGGCTCCAATTCTGGCAAATCCACTTGTTCCATCAATTGAGTGCAAAACATGGTTCATCCTTATCTTTCATGCAGAGCTTCTGTTAAATTTAATTTGATTGATTTCTGGGGCAAATAGAATAAGAGATTTACCTTGGTTCTAGATTTAATGAACTCTCAAATCACATAAGTACTGACTGCTAAATCCTGTCGCCCATGATATTTTTATACACTGCACACACTGTGAATTTTGAGTCCTCAAGAACCATAGTACTCTGAAAATTTAATATGAATCACTTTGTGGTTGATTGTAATTTGTTCTGTATTTCTTTTTCCACCAATTTGGATCTTTCAAAATCTATCTTAGATAAAATATCTCATGATTCAAGATCATGGAGTTAAAGCATACCTGCAAATATATATTGTAACAATTGAATGGCTATTATCTATTTTCTAAAATATTTTAAAGAAGTGGCTATGGTGTAATATAAGAAATACTTACCTATTTATCTAGAAAAAATATTGAACTTATAATTAAAGAAATAAAGGTGAAAGTTTTTAAAGAGAAATCTATTTTAATTCTTTTTCATTTGAGTTAATTTTTTAACATTCATTTAAATTCTACTGTCTTGGATTTTACTTTCTTATTGACTATAACACCTTCCTTAAACTGTGATTATATAGTTCGAATTGTAGTCAAACAGGTTTACATTGTACACAACTCTATAGCCACCTTGCACTTAAATATATAACCAAAACTTGTATGTTAAAACTGCAATTATTGTTCTCATAATCTGCACTTTGGGCTATTTCTCAATTTTTTATCACGAGAGACTACTCTTGGAGCTTTACTTGAACTACTGCAACTTCTCTCTATATGCCCACTCACATCTGATGTTTGTGTTAGAAAGGCTTTAATAAACAGGAGACAAAACAGCATAGCCCATAACATTTTAATTTTATTTTAAATGGTCAATTATTTGTTTTTCTTAATAAAGAAAAATGATAAAATGCAGTAGATGCAATATCAAGGTACTGTTGGGTTCAAGGGTAGAAACTCTAATTGAGAATGTTTGTTGCCAATCAGCTTAGGTTTCCCCCTCCTCCAATTCACATGAAATTCATGAATCAGCCACTGCTGGTCACTGCTGCTACCTGTTATCACCATTTCATCCCAGCTTGTGTTGGATACCATAATTCAACTCTGCCAGGTGCCATGTCTCTGCTGTGGCTGCTGGCTGCCACCATTACCTGTTGGCCTTCATTAGCTGCCGGAGTCATTGGTTGCTGGTTTCTGGAGCTCTCAGTGTTAATACCCCTGTTTATTCAATCTGTCTACATTCTCAGGATAAAAATCCTGAATAGATTTAAAGGATTTTTGGTGCCCACATTACTTTAGAAATAAATCATAATCAGGTTTACAGGAATACTGAAGTGACTATTTCAGCAGGTCCTGTGCTGCAGTATAGAGAGAATATTTTGAAGGAGGAACTGCTCTTGGACTAAAACTTTATAAGTGCCTGCAAAGTTCTATTTACACAGCATCTTAAAGACCTGTTTCAGGGAAGGTGATAGTCAAAGCCAGGGAATCTTTTGGAAGGCTTATGAGAATTTTAGGTATACAAATAAGGGATATAACTGCATGTACATTTGAATGTGTAGGATGGAAAACCATATTACTGAACTTTTGTTGGATCACTGAATGGAACTGTTTGCAATCTCACTGTATGAATGTCCACTTTATATACTTTAATTTTATAATTTGGACAACTGTTTCAAAGATGACAATATGCAACCTATTAACTAGTGATTTCTTACTGTATATATATTTTTTGAAATTCTGTATTACTTGTACCCTTTTACTGCTTTGTTTTTTTTAAATTTCCTTTCTGTTTTCTCTTTAAATAAGGGGCCCAAAGCCCTCCTGTACTTATCTTATACACTGTTAGAGTGTTCTCTCCTTTTCAAATGAATCAGTACGGTCTGAAGTGGCAGGAGAGGGGAGGAGCGCGAGTAGCTTGGCTCCACTAACACTGGTGTGGAGAATGGTTGTTTGACAGCCAGGCAGGCCATAGCTATAGTCCTAGAGGACACTGAAGCAAACTGTCACAGTCCATTGGGGTGCAAGGGTAAACAAAAAGAAGCAAGAGAGAGGAGCAAATGACTATTGACTAAGCCACAGTCCAAGACAAATGAGACAGACAGCTGCTTCCTTGTCTCCTGCTGTTTACTGTACCCCTCACCCTGCTTGTCCAGCATGTGATTCTATAATATCTTTTTAAAATAGAAATGCTCCAAGAATAATTTTGTTTAGTGAATCAGTTACACTCCTTGCCAAAAGTATTTTTCAACGTGTTAAAGTCCACTCTAAGAAGAGAGAAGGACAGTATTGCGATTTGTATTTGGAATACTAACAAAAGCTGTAAGCGGACTATGTAATGTGAATGGGTTGTGAGAGCACTGTAGTTAGTTGGCTATTAGGAAGTGGCATCTGATTGGAGGGGCGTCACTGAGCATTACTGGGAAGGGTGCATCTCCCTCCTTGCTTCCTTTCTTCTGTCTCCATTTTTGGCCCATAAGGAGCAACTTTACACTGCACCCCTCTCTCATGCCTTTCCTGCCCTGGAGCAGAGACTGTAACTGTGAGACAACATAAACTTCTGTTTCTTTAAATGGATGGTGTCAAGCCGGATGTGATGGCACACACCTGTAATCCCAGCACTCAGGAGATGAGTTAGGAGGACTGTTGCAAGTTCAAGACAGCCTGGACTACAAAGTGAGTTCAAGGCCAGCCTGAACTGCATAGCAAGCAAGACCCTGTCTAAAAAAAAAAAAAAATCTAAGACAGACAACTACTTAATAGACAAAAAGCAACAGATACATGATAAAGGAGGTGTATGTAAGCTGTTTACAAGCCATGCTTACTCACCAGCACAGGCTCTTCTGTCCTGGGGTTTATTTTCCCTCAAGCTTGGTCATCTCTTCCATTGTCTTTCCATTCATCTGACTAGGAGTCCTTGGGGCATGTCAGAGGTGTAGAAATATCCATGCTGATTATGACACTCAAAGGCAGAGACAGATTCACATTGCGAGTGGTAGGCAGAGCTTCACAGTAGCAGGGGTAAAATCCTAGGTGTTTCATTTATTGTTTGCAGTGAGCATTGCAAATTCATTGTAGTTGCCAAACTTATCAGAAGGTATTTTAGACACACAGCATTCCTTTATTTAAAAATAACAAGGGATGTTATATGGAGTTATGAAATTTTATTTAATTTCAAGCTTTAAAATAAAGTGTTTTATTTAGAAACCAAAGGTCATATTATAAGAGTTACCATTCCTTATTTGAAGTTTTCTTTCCTCTCTTTTTCAAGCAGGATATGAGCAAAGGTCAGAGATGGCAGATGATCAGCAATACACAGGACCGACTCTGTTCTCAGTAAAATGAAGTTAGAAAGAGATGGCATTCCAATCCTGTCTCTAGTTTTATTTCCTCAGTCATAACAGTCAAACAAATTTACATCAAATAAGAACTAACTTTAGTTACAGCTTCTTAAGTGCTTTATCTGTTAATAATACACTGGAAAAAATTTCAGCAAAAATAGTTTATTTTAAAAATAAAATTATAATGCATTTTGCATGTTAACAGAAGAGATAAAAAATTGATTTGCTTAATGAATCACAGAATGTTAGTTGTAAGTGAATAAATATAGTATTTTTATACTTCTAGTGACTTCAGAAATAAATTTCTTGCAACTAAGTCATTTCAACTTAGAAGTATTTATTTGCCTATGAATCTTGCTCTCAATCTATGTATGCATCTATGAACGCATCTATTTATTTCTGTGATACTAGGAATTGATTCCAGGGCCATCACACTGAGTTTCTACCTCAGTTCATTTGGTATTTTATTTTGTGGCAGTCAAGTCACTTTATTGACTGGGCTCAACTCAAACTCTGTATTTTCCTACTTCAGCCTCCCAGACCACAGGAGTTTTTGCCTCTAGAAGACAAACCATGCCTTCCCACGAGCCAGGTTCCACCATGGGGATTGGGGGAAAATTCAGCAAGAAGACACAGCAAGCTTTCCTATAGGCCAGAATCTGCCATAGGGATCGAAAAGAGATTCAGTAAGAGAACAAACCAAACCTTGCCATGAGTCAGGATCTGCTATGAGGATCAGAAAGAGACTCAGCAAAAAGACAAGCCAAGGGGGCTGGGGATTTAGCTCAGCAGCGTAAGCGCCTGCCTTGCAAGTAGGCAGTTGTGAGTTGGATCCCTGGTACCGATAAAAAGGAAAAAGACAAAAAAAAAAAAAAAAAAAAAGACAAGCCATGCCTTCCCATAAGCCAGCTGGTGCATAGCCTGGGAAACCAGAAGAAATTGTTTGCCCCAAAACAAACTTAATCTATTAGCAATAATAATACATTAACAATAATCATAAAGAAAGTGATGAGGGATATGCAAATATTATTCATATATATGGTACACAAAACATAAAAAATGAAAATAAACATTTGTATATCAGAAAAGTTGCCACGGGGTTTAGAAGAAAATATTAAGAAATTTCTAAAACATAAATTTATTAGAGAGAACAAAAATGGGATTATCTTTAAGAAGATATATTAAAATATGAATGACATGGAATATGAGATGCCAAACTTAGAAAATAAATGGAAAAATGTTACAACATTCCAAAAATTAACAAGGGCTGGTATTATAAGCATCTGCCTGGCAAGTGCAAATTTGTGAGTTCGATCCCCAGTACCAAAAGAAAATAAGAATAAAAAATAAAAGAAGAAAGAAAGAACCAAAAATTAACACTACCCTAGAAGCAATAAACAGCACAGCTGAAACTGTTAACAGTATAGGGGAACCAAGAACATTAGATTAAAATTAAAATGTAAAGTTAAATGTAAGTTAACAAAAAGATTGCAGGCCAGTTTTAGGGGTGTATTCCTATAATCTCAGCCTTCTTGAAAGCTGAGGCAAGAGTTTCAAATTACCAAGATTCTGTCTCAATATGCAAAACAAAAAAGGCTGACGATGTGATTCAGTGCAATTGTCTTTCGTTCAATCTTTAGCACCACAACGAAAAAAATAAGGAAATTAAATTTATGAAAGACTGATGTGTTAGCATTACATATGTTTAATTGATACTGATAACGAAAAAAACAGAATAAACACACTTTTAATGTGTGTGTATGTGGTTATGTTGTGAAGCACTGAGAAAATAGAACATAGCAAAAAAAAAAAAAGCATGCTTAAAGAAGAAAATGACCCAAAATAAAAGATGACCCATAATAATTACTGAAAATATATATCATGATGAGGTCTTTTGAAAAACTTTGAAGGTAAAAAATTGAAAAGACATTCAGAAAGAAAAATCATATAATCTATGATTAAAATGCCAGGGTGTTAGAAACATCCCAAATACTGTATTTTCAGAATAAATCACATTTTCAAAGGAACAAAATGTTTATATATAAAAAGTTTCATATTTAGCCATCAATCAAGTATATTTTATGCAAACTTTTGATGTATGTGTCAAACATAAAATTTATAGGAAACAAGAAACATTCTACCTAAATAAAACTGACCAAAAGTGGAGCCAAACAAAATAATAAGGTTTGATTTAGGATGGAGAAAGTATTATTGTGACGATTTTAACAGCAAATTTAGGGCTCATGACCCATTAAATCACAACTTTTTTGAAATCTTGGAATACTGAAGACCTCAGAACAACTTAAACCTTGGACAAGTCTCAGATCTACAGAAGACATGTGCCTTGAAGGAAAGGAGGGGACTTTTTATAAGACTGATAGAATTCAGCTAAAATCTTTCATTTTTAATTTATTTTTAAGTTGGTATTAAAGGCCATGTATGCTGCTATGAGAGTACAGTGACCTGGACCCACAGACACAAGGGGAGTTTGCATTTATTGACAAATCCATATCACAGACTTCACCAGACAATCAAGAGAAAGATAGACACAATAAAGAAGCTGGGAAATGTTCGGTTCCTACAGAACAGAAGATTTATGTCACTAGGGGAAGGAGGCAAAGTTTCCAGCAAACAGAGAACAAGCAAATAATCATCACAGCTGTAAGAAAGGAAGAAGAAACAAAAAAACCCTCTGTCATTAGAAGGCAGAAAAATGTCTTCAGCTGCAGTTAGATAATGCTTTCAATTTCAAAAGAGTAAGGTCTGAGAAAATCTTGTAAGACGGGGATTCAGTGGCCTGACTCAGAACCAAGACAACAGAGTCCTTAAACGTCTCAGACAGCTATTGAAGCTCTACTAATTATTCAATATCTACCTAATATATTCCCATTTTCCTCCTGCAAATTTCTCTTAAATTTTTCACTCATTCGTTCACTCATTCAACAAGCATCTGGGTGTCTAGGCTTATAGCATTGAATGAAATAAAGAAATCATTTGCACACAAAGTACATTCTTATAACTGGAGGCACAAAAATAACCAAATAAATATATCATGTGCAAGGATATAAAGAGGTTAGACAAATGGGGAATAAATTTAGACAAAAATATTTAATAAGGCCACACACTGGGGAGACTTTGAAGCTGGGATGTGGAGGTGATCATTATAAACCCTTATCATTAATCAATTCCTTCATCTTTTAGTAACGGGACTTTTATCAAATAAAAGCTAGTCTTTCATTGTTCCATCTGTTCACCATCCAGTAGCTACAACCATATTGTAATCTAATCAGATTTTGTGAATTTCACTCTTCATTTTTTCTATATTTTTAGAGCAAGAATTCTTATTTTGTATAAGAAAGAGAAAATACCAGAGAAAGGATAATGGTACAATTTTGTACATTCATGTCCGATACTTTACCGAATCAGAATTCTCAGTGGATATTACAAAGGAGAAGGCAAATAGCTTATCTTTGATATAAAAAACCATTTTACAATTCTAATTAGATGAAAAAGAAATATGATTCTTTAAATTAAATTCTGCAATCACTTAAGTTTAAAATTTTCCTTCTATTAAATTTTGAAAAAGAATAAAACCATATACAGTATGTTAATACTGATACTTTCTTTTTCTATTAGATTCCAAAGAACTGCTGATTAAAAGAATGAAGGTCTCATCTTAAGAGGGAAATTTAATAAGTTCTCATGAACAATTAGAAAGATTATTTGCATATCTTTTAGCCCATTGGAAGAAAAAAGTACAAGCAGAAAAGGTTTAGCAATAATCACTTGCTGAGAATGAGTGAAAAGGGAAACATTAAATGCTTTTCTGTTCCTGCTGAAGCTGTGGATAGTATTTCAGAAGGCTTATTAGCATGCACATTGGAGTGACCTGGTTTACCACTTCTCTGCACTTAGGCAGCTGTTTATTACAGGTGCTCCATAAGTGGTATTTTTATCCCTCTAAAATAAATTAGGAACAGAGAACACTAACGCTTCATTATGGTCATAGAAATATATTTTATAGCTATGGAAAGAGACAAATGAAACCCAAAGCAAGCTGCAGGAACAATTGACAAAATTTCTTTCAAGAGTTTCATCCAGGACATTATTCTTTTTCATCTGCCAATTCTCTGGCACATTGGACTTACTGAAAATATCTGTTTGAAAATCTAAGGCAAAAAGTATGAAGAAAAGAAACTGGAAAACTAAAGGATTTAGAATCACAAGTACTTCACTACTTGCTTTGATTTCAAACAAGCAATTTTTCCTCTATATATCCATAGATTATATGTAGATTGTAGTAACAGCTACTTTGTACATCTACTTTTGAAAGTTGCTGTAATGTTAAGGAAAAAGTATTTTTCTAGTACTGTTTCCTATATATATAGAAAGCATTCATTATTTCACAGCCAGAGACATAAAACAATTAAATTATAATAAACATACTTAGCAGTGTGTGAGAAACAGGTGAATACTCAAAATACTATCTCAAATATATTCTTGAGAACTGTATTGTCTTCTCTTATAATCAGCCGAATACTGGAAGAGACTTCTTCCCATATGGAACACACAAATTGCAAACATTGACGTATTCTTCATAATATTTGCTTTTGTTGTTCTACATCTCTAGCCTGCTACTCACATCATTTTTCTTTCTGTTTTATATTTTGGTGGTGCTGAGGATCAAACTCAGGGCCTTACATGTGGTAAACAAGCACTTTGTCACCAAGCTGCAACCTTAGGCCAACCTCTGCTCAGTTTTATGTCAGTCACAGCGCTGATAGATTGTGACCTTTTCCTCACAAAACAACCAGAAACAGTTTGTTTTTTTTTTTTTTTTTTTTTTTTTTTTTTTTTTTTTTTTTCTGTCTCAGAGCTTTCCCAGGAGCCACAGCATCTATTTCAGAACACACACGCATAGCCTGTAAGTGCAACAGAAGAGAGATCGGAGGGTAAATTAAATGACTCAGGCAACTCCA